CAGGCACCTAGTGGGTGAGCCAGGTGCAGGGGCAGGCACCAGGCTGCCCCGGAGGTGGTCTCTTCCAGAAAGGTCTTGGCCTAGCACAGTCCATCTCTTTCTTTTATGGTCTTCATGCTTGCCCTTTCGCTCTGCTCTGGAGGTGGAGCGGCAGTTGGCAGATAATCCGAGGCTGCCTGACCTGACAGGTTAAGGAAAGCAGGCAAGTCAATTAGGACCAGGTCGGCAGCTGGCAGCCTCCTTTTGTTGTCAACGCAGGCACCATTGAGACCCTTCTCCTTCTGGAAAAAGGGGACTTCCAAAATCCAGAACTTAGGCAGGATTCCCTGAAGTGGGTGTTGATCTGTGGATAAGCCACAGGGTAAAGGAGACTCCTCTTTCCTCCTGAAGAGAGAGTGCATCACTCACATCTCATTTTCAAATGGCTTGTTGACCCAGAAAAATCTCGAGAACTCCTTGCCTCCTGTTTTCCAGTCTTGGAATTCACGTCTGCATTTCCTGCCACCCAGGACTGCCCTTTGCTAAAGCTGTCCTCTTAGAGTTGTAGTGCAGTCCTGCTTCCAGGGACATCAGCTGTGCCCCTCAGCTGCAAACCTTAATTTCCATGCCAGTTGACACATACTTAGTGAGTGCTCGCTCTGGGGGAGCCTCTGTGACTGTTCCAGACAGAAGGTGACAGGGTTCCAAGTGCATAATGTACAAACACATTAACCTCAGGCCCCAGGCCGGAACTCAGTGAAGCCAGCAGAATCGACAGAAGGGGATTTTTGCTTTATTTGGTTTGATGGCTTACTTTCTAGCTTACAGAATATTATCAGCTTCTAAGTTGCTACCTATCCGTTTAAGCATATTATTCCAGTAAGTGCCAACACAGTTGTTAAACACCAGTGTTGAAGGTGGTGTTTGGTGATCTCTTGGTTTTTGGTGTTCTCTTGAGTCACCGATTGGCACAAGCCAGAGTTGTAACCAGTGTGTGAGGACTGACTCACTATGAATCTTATCTTCATGGGTGTTTTATAACGTCTACCACTTTGGTTTATATTCATAACTAGCATGTCCTAAGTGAAGATATACAAACAAAAATTAACTCTCCTTCCACCTCTGGGGTTTGGTGTTTTCTTTAGGAAGTACCCTTGTGAATGGTTTATGCTGAGTTTTCCCCTGGGGACTTATCCTATGTGTCATTAATGGCCTGGAAATACCTTCCATTTTAAAAAGTATATATTACTAACTCCTTCATGTACAAGGTAATATCTGTCTGGATAGTTGAGCAAATTCTGACTTCTCCCAAAGATGAATTTCCATCTTCTTGGAGTGCTCGCTGGGCAGTTGTGCGGCCTTTAATCTAAAGCTGCAGAGATTCACTGGGCCTGTTAGTGGCAGAGCCTCTTGGACACAGTAGGTTTAGTGACGAGGAGGAGACCCCAGGAATAGGGCCCTGTTTTAACCCAGTCATTTCCAGTGTATTCTTTTTTCTCTGCCAATATTGAGTCTCTCTCAAGTGTTTCCATTATGACTTGTTGCATGGAGGGTTATATGCTGTGCAGAGCCCCAGCAGGCTTCTCCCAGCATGTGCCGGAGTCTGTCATTTCTCCTGAGTTGTGCTGCAGGATTCTCCTGCTGGTCTGTGCTGTGAGGAGGACGAGAAACAGCTGTGTGAAATTTCCTGCCGCATTTCAGTCGAGCCTTTAGGATGTGCTTGTGTCACGTGTCATCTCCTCCTTAGCTCCCTCAAGATATTTTTTCTCCAGTCTTCTGTAGTGAATGGTTATCTTTCTAAGCAGCTGATTTGTTTTTATCTTATCTAACTTGTACATTTTATCATTCCTTCCTCGCCTTGGCTAACTGAATTTCAGAGCCCAATGTGCAGATCACCTCTAGGAAAGTGTGTAGAAAGACGTTGTCCAGTAGAAATATAATGTGAGCCACATGTAATTTTAGTTGTTGTAGTAGCCACATTAAAATATATAAAAAGGAAAAAACAGTGAAAGTAATTTTAATAATTTTATTTAATAGATATAAAATTTACCACGTCAACATTTAATCAATATGAAAATTATTACATTTCCCTTTGTGCACTAAGTCTTTGAAATCACGTGTCACTTTGGACTAGCTGTGTCGAAGTGCTCCCTGCACACGTGGCTCTTGGAGTGGAGTGTGCGGGACAGTGCAGAATTGACCACTAGCGAGTGCAAACCTTCCCTTGGGTTTAATTTCTCTACCCACATTTTCCCTTCTTAATGTTCTCACTTGTGGGCACACCAAGAGATTAAAAACAAGTATCTTTATAAGCCACCTTCAATGACCCATTTTGAAACAAGAAATAAAGTGTTTTTCCAAAGGAGTTTGAGGGGTGAAGGGCAGTGCACACTCAGGCACACTTGTTTGCAGGATGCCAGGAGAAGGGAGGGCGTGTTTTTTCTATTTCCCCTTCTTTTGAGCAGCGCCAGGCTGCTCATTAGCATCTGGGCAGAGCTTGAGCCTACTTATCTTAATTTATTCATTTTTGTTGGAGAAATTCAGGGAACAGTGAGAGACAGTGGTAAAAACTGGGGTCTCCCCCAGTCAGTTCATTTGAAGAGTGTTTTTTTTCTTTTAAGGCTTTAAGGGAGGATTTCACGTTTTTGAGGGATTGTCCTAGACTGACTGGTGGTGTCCCAGACTTCTGTCTCATGAACTGACTTTTGGGGTAGTTCCATTCTAAATGTGCATCAGAATTAACGGGAGGCCTCCCCCCGTCACTTCACTGTCACTTGCTGGAGAGTTAGTGGCTCCTCCTTCCCATCATGTCATTATGTGAGCCCAGTCCAGTGGGAAGGAGGCCACCGTGAAGTCGTTGAGTCTACATGTTAGACTTTCGTAAACTTGGTATACATATTTACATGTTGTAAAGGAAAAACTCGGATTTTTCCTTCCTACGTAGGGGAAAAACCCAGTTCTTTCCTATTGTTTCTGTCCTCTGAGTCTCCTCTACTACTCACACAAAACACTTTACTTCTGTTACTTCTGGTCACCAAATGTGTGGAGGTTTGTGGACACCAGCAGGGTGTCCAAGAATTCAACTCTGTTCTGGCACTATCTACCCGGAGATAGGGTCAGATCCCACAGCTTAAGGACTCAGTCCCACAAGACTGCCGCCACCTACCTCCTGCCCCATGCCCGTTGCAAGATCAGGTTGTCACCTGTGCTTCTGAGCAACCGGCTGTAGATCAGAGGTTCCAACGACCCCCTCCTTGGGTCCCATTAATTTGCTAGAGTGGCTCACAGAACTCAGGAAGACAGTTTACCAACTGTTTACCAGTTTATTGTAAAAGGATATTATAGGGCCGGCCCCGTGGCTTAGCGGTTAAGTGCACGCGCTCCGCTACTGGCGGCCGGGGTTCAGATCCCGGGCGCGCACCCCCGCACCACTTCTCTGGCCATGCTGAGGCCGCGTCCCACATACAACAACTAGAAGGATGTGCAACTGTGACATGCAACTGTCTACTGGGGCTTTGGGGGAAAAAAAATAAAGTTAATAAAAAAAAAAAAAACATGATAAGGGATACAGATAAACAGCCAGATGAAGAGATATGTAGGGCGAGTTCTGGGAGGGTACCGCGCAAAGGAGCTTCTGTCCCGGTGGAGTTGGGTACGTCATCCTCCCAGTGTGGCCGTGTTCATCCACCTGGAAGCTCTGCAGACCCTCTACTATTGAGATTTTATGGAGGCTTCCTCACGTAGGCTGGATCAGTTATTAACTCCAGTTCCAGCCCCTCTCCCCTCTCTGGAGGATGGGGGGGGTGGGGCTGAAAATTGAAAGCTTCTGCTCACAGCTTGGTCTTTCTCATGACCAGCCCCCATCCAGGAGCCCACCCAGAGTTGCCTCATTAGAACAAAACATGCTCCTAGTGCTCTTATCGTTTAGGAATTCACAGGGGATTTAGGAGCTATGTGTCAGAAATTGGGGTCAAAGACCACATATTAGAATAAGAGATGCTCTTAGTGTTCTTATCATTTAGGAAATTACAGGGGTTTTAGGAGCTCTGTGCCAAGAACCCAGGGGCAGAGACCAATGTATATATTTTCTGTCATCTCACACATGTTGACAAGTGAGCCCAAGAACATGAAAAAGACTTTTGCCATAAAGAATTCTGTGTTCTCTTAATGATTACATGTATTTATCTCACACTTTAGTTGGTATAAAACAACTAAATGCTTTTGAGGTACATAACTCCTGTAGAATTGAACATCTCTTCTTCTCATCACCTTTCTCACACTAAAATCTTATTCACAATCCTTCATTTTCTATCAAATTTTTTGAAAAATAAAAACAATACATGTTTCCATTTATATAGAGAGAAATATAAAAACATTATTTTTTTTAAAGACAGAAAATTGTATCAATGGAGGAGGAAAAGAAAGCTAGAATCTCAAAGACACTATTCTTCTTTTGTTGTCTTTTTAGTCCTGTCTGTAAGATATATGGAAAGAGGATTTTGTAGCCTGTTTCTTTACCAACAATATGTTTATTTTTCATTAAAAGAAACTAAGCTTACGTACTCGACTCCTAATTTTATACAAACAATAAATCAGTGGGTGTCAGTGGATGGTTCTTTTGAAAGAAAAGGAGGAAACTTACTCATAAAGTCATCTGTTGTTACTTGATGTGAATACACGTGTTTTATTGATTCTTTTATATTTAGAAAAACACCAATGATGTGTTGGAAGACTATTATTTATTCTTGTCAGCTGTTCCTTAGAGATCCTCCCTTTCCTGGGTATGAAGAATAGTCCTTCTTCATGCAAAAATCTGTCTCAATAAAATCACATCAGATCCAGATTATCTGCTTCCTCCACGCCCCCAAGCACACACACACTGTTGGTACTTACAAGGTTGCCATGTGTGTATAGATGTCTCCAAAAGCCTAATGATGCTCATTGCCTTTGCTGTATGTTTTTTCTATTTTGTCTGTACAATTATGCTTGTAACAGTGTACTTTGTTATACTACAATAATAGGGTGAAGCAGAAAGAGACCATGATAGCAAGAAAGTCAGACTGGAGAAAGAAATCAAATCACAGGCATCGTCTTCATCCTCCCACAAAGAATCTTCTAAAACAAAGTGAGTAAAGAGATTAGGAGCAGCCCAGAAAGGTGGTTGAGCCTTCTTGGGTCTTTGACATGGCAAAGATGATTTTCTTCTGCAGTAGAACGAGTGGATGAACAAACTCGTTCATGCCCATTTTGATGATGTAAGTTTGTTTCGTGTTCTTTCATCCGTGAGGACCTTATAGGAATTAACAAGTCATTTGGCAGCAAACTTGGATTTATCAAAAGCATTTTAACAATAGGAAATTTCCTAAACACCTAGAACTAATTTATTTCTAAAGGGATTTTTACATAAAAATAAGAAAGGCGCGATTATTATCCTTACTTTGCAGAATTGGAAACAGAGGCACAGAGAGAAAATAACTTGTCCAAAGTCACAGAATTCTCGGCAGACGGAGCCAGCTCTTGACCTCTGGGAGCCTGGGTTCAGTGCTCTTCTTTTAAGTAAATGCATAAGCATTGCAGGGCTGCTCGCTGTGCGCGTTGCCCGGGGAGAGGGTAGTTCCAGGAAGGTGTAAAAAGTATAAGGTATAAATAGTAACTGTTATTCACTGTCTGATTGATTCAGGAAATCACCTCACAAAATGACCTGGCAAAAACAAGTGCATGTAGGAGCCAACAGAGACTTGAGAGAGAGAGAGAGAGAGAGAGAGAGAGAGGGAAGGGGTCAGATGTGAAGGGTGGGAGAGAAGGTGGCAGCCGAGCTTGCCTGCTTGTAGAGAAAGGTACAGGTTGGGGAGCAGCTAATACGGACCAACTTGCTTGGGTACAGTTAGGAGCACTGGCAGATTCTGCAAGCTTAGCAACAAATTATACAACTTCATTTATTACTCATTGATAGGATTAGGTTTTTCAAAGGGATCAAAAAGTCCCTGAAATTTGTCCCTTCTACAAAAATAGATTTCATGTTCTGTGATAATCTTTTGTCAGCAGCCATTTTGTTCCTATAACTAAACAGCTAAGTTATGTGGTTCATGTTCTGCTTTAACTTAGTTTTGCTTGATGTTTCTTTCCAGAACACCCAGGCCCTCCTCTGAGCCCTCAAAGAAGGAAATGCTTCCCCCTCAACTTGTGTTGTCCTCATCCTCCCAGAAGCCAGCCAAGCCTGCACAAAAGAAGCCAAGGCGGGAAGCAGACCTCGGTGGCCAGGACCCTGCCAAAAGTGCCAGCAGTACCAAGGGCAGCCATAAAGACTCTTCCGTTCCCAAGCACAGAAAAGCAGAGGGGAGGGGCTCTGAAAGCTCCACAGAACACAAAGTAAGTATGGGAAGCACCAGTTGTAGAAAATGGACTATATTGGTGTATCTTTACTTTAAATTCTCAAATAAGATCAATTCCTAATGATGGTATTTCAGAGCTATTCAGAACTTTTTTTGTGTATGAAGAAGGTTTAGCCCTGAGCTAACATCTGTTGCCAATCCTCCTCTCTTTGCTGGAGAAGATTGGCCCTGGGTCAACATCTGTGTCTCTCTTTCTCTACTTTATATGGGACGCCACCACAGCATGGCTTGATAAGCAGAGCATAGGTCCGAGCCCAGGATCCAAACCTGTGAACCCCGGGCCGTGAAAACGGACCGTGCAAACTTAACCACTGTGCTACTCAGCTGGCCCCTATTCAACACTTTTATTAAGACAGTAATGAATTATTTGTGTTTAAAGTTCTACTTTTCAGAGGGAATGTAAAAGATAGTTAATGTTACACGAAAATTTAGGTGTCAGTTTATTCTTCCTAAAGTGGTTCAAAGGGGAAAAATCAGAATAGATTTCTGTGTTGATTTTCTGTCAGTATTTTGCAGTAAAAAATGGTTACTCTGGTTAGTTCTTGGTTTGGAGATTTGATCTCAAATACTTTCATTATTGGTTATAATGGGAAGAAATTATCCATTTTCTCAAATACAAGTTCTCCTCTTCCTGTTAACCTGGGGTGGGTGGGAAGGTGTGTGTATTGACTAAGAGAATTTGGTTTTGTTGATTATCTGTTCTCTTGGACATTCTTGTCTTATATCTTTTTGAGCCCCCAATACAGTCAGAACCTACATTTTCAGCTGAATTTAGCTGGGAAAGTGCTTGACCAAGCTAAATTGTGCAATGTTTGATTTCCTCTTTTTTGAACTACTATTTTGGGCTAATTTAGAAGGATAGTACATTTAGGTCAATGATCTTAAATGTTAGAGTGTGATCTATGTAATGATTTTTTAAAGGGATCTTCTGGAGATATTGCAAATCCTTTTCCAGTGCCTTCTTTGCCAAATGGTAACTCTAAACCAGGGAAGCCTCAAGTGAAGTTTGACAAGTAAGACTTTGGATGCTTGCTTCTTATTCTTTCTTCCTCCTCCTTCCCTCCTCCTCATTTCCTCTTCCTTCTTTGCTTTCTCCCTCATCTTTGGCCCCCCTCCTCTCCTATCCATTTTCACTCTCTGTCTTCTTAAGTCATCTTGCCCCAGTCTGGTAATTTTTAGGTTCATATGACCCACGCTTGATCTTTTCTTCTCTTTCAGACAACAGGCAGATTTTCACATGAAGGAGGCCAAAAAGTTGAAGATCAAAGCAGAGACAACGGTCAGTCTTGACTCATGATCCTTTTGGTAGAATGTTTTCTGATAAGATATTTGTAGTCTCATTCTACCGCATTCCTATCCCTAGACATGGGGGTGGGCAGGAGGGAGGGGTATGTGGAGCCTGACGCTGGCCACAGTGTAAGTAGGATCTGCAGGATCTTAAAGAGTGTGAGGGGTGTGGGATTCTTGGTGAAATTATTTTCTTTGACTTCATATCAAAACAATGGTATCTTTCCAACCTCTTCCTTCCAGCTTTCCAAGGTTGTTGCTAGAACTGTATGGATCTTTTGAATTTTGAAAAAAAGTAAATATTCAATACTTTGTCAGCCAGTTATCTAAGAGTTACCTTTCGGGGGCGGGCCCCGTGGCTTAGCAGTTAAGTGCATGTGCTATGCTGCTGCCGGCCTGGGTTCGGATCCCTGGTGCGCACCGACGCACCGCTTGTCCCGCCATGGTGAGGCGGCATCCCACATATAGCAACTAGAAGGATGTGCAACTATGGCACACAACTATCTACTGGAGCTTTGGGGAGAAAAAGGGAAAAAAAGGAGGAGGATTGGCAATAGATGTTAGCTCAGGGCCAGGCTTCCTCAGCAAAAAGAGGAGGATTGGCATGGATGTTAGCCCAGGGCTGATCTTCCTCACAAAAATAAAAAAGTTACCTTCCATTGGACACTTTCAGCACTAGATTCCTAGATTAATATTCCAGGGAACTTCATTTTTGTTTTGCTTTTAATCTATACATATGCACATCTTCTTTCTCCTTACCTATGCCTGTGGCATCCCATTGTAATAATAATAGCTCATTTCACTCTCAAAATATGCCAGTTTGGACAAAACCCTGAATGGTCAGCCTCTTCCTAATATTCTCCTTTAATTGCACAATGTCTTAAAGTTGTCAATTTTGCATTTCAAATAGTTAAGTGCACAATTGAATATAGAGGAGTATATTCAATCTCTACCTTATACTTAACTGTTGAGCAGGAAAAGTTAGAACTCTGCTCCTTTAACACCGTCTCAGGAGATACACAGAGTTTTCACAGGAGTATTTTCGTCATTAGCCTTACAAAGTACTTAACTCAAGGAAGTGGATACTGAAACATTGCTTTACTGTACTTTCTTTTGTTTCTACCCTAAGGCCAATGTAAACTTTGGAAATTCCATGAAAGAGATGGTATTGCATAAGTAAATTTGAAGAGTTAAATTCCCACCAGTGAAGCAAACCAATAAGGCCCTGTACTGCTGATTAATTGGGGCATGCTAATTTAATTTTTATTCTTTCTGTCACTAATTTTCTGAGCCTGGGTTCTCCAGAAAAAATATTTTAAAATCAAGTTACTTAGAAAAATTAAAATTAGCAGCCCTAACCACCTTTCTTGGCTGGTATGTCACCATTTCCTTTTACTCCACTTGCATCTTTACTGTTTTCATTATTTCTTTTTGAACATAGCAAATTGAAAGAATTAGCAGAAACTACAGACTTGCAAATGTCGTGTTAACCAGGTACATGTGACACGTGTAGAGAAAAAGTAGAGTTGCTCATCACAGCCTTATTAGTTGAGTTGGCTGCATAGGGGCTCTGAAATGTTCATCCGTGTTGGCCTGGGGGGTAGCCAGGCCAGTACACTTAACCTAAACTTCCAGTGGAGCTTAGGTAATCTGTTGGGCTCTAAAATACATAAACCCATTATCGTTTGACATAATATCTAAGAGGCTCATAAACCATAATATTTTCTACTTATTGTAAGATGAACTTCAACACAAAGAAACTTGTGTTAGTGTTATTCTAGATGTGTAGAATAATCTGTTTCTCGGGAAAATTATATAATGAGTAATTACACACTAATTACAAGAGGACTATGTACTTATTGCCTCAGTTTGAATGTGTACTTTAATAAGATTTTGAGAGAGTAGTCTTAATACGAGATTGTTTTCTTTTTCCTACTGAATTTTTGCTAAAAGAAAATTTTCAGTAGGTCAGAGGCGACAGGCTCTGGTTATCATTTTGAGTTCATTTTTTCTCACATATCTCTCTCTCCGTAATTAAACTAAGACAGTGGAGGGAAGCTACAGTAAAGACTTGGCTGAGAAACTAAATAAAAGTGTGTCTTAGGCTTAATGATGATCGTGTTCTTCTTCGACAGACGAACAAGGTTGGGAAGGCTTTTAAGTACGTGGAAGCCGTCTTGTCCCTTATTCAGTGTGGGATCGCCATGGAGTCAGAAGGTCCAGCATCAAAGTCCGCTTACTCAGTGTACTCGGAAACTGTCGACCTCATTAAGTAAGTGCCAAGCCGTTTTGCCATCCTCCTAAATACTTTCCTTTCCTCACCTCTATTGCTTTAATCCATTTGAACCTTAGTATGAAGACAGCTTAATAAAGGAGAGCCTTAAAAAAGTTGCTGATCCAGGACCTTTTTTTTTTTTTGTCCTAAACTAAAATTGTATTCTAGGTGAAGTACTAGAACAGAAGAACTGGGTCCAGCTACCTCATTTTGTCAAGTGCACTGTGCAATGCAAACCTTTCAAAGAGAGGTTGGCTTTTCCAGTTTGGCTTTCTTATCAGATGCCCTCTCATCTCAGTTTAAGCTGCCGCCTTTATTGTCCGCATTTCAACAGCATGCTCGGTGAGGACACAAGTCTACTTGGTTTCAAGCAGGTAGACAGGCCAGAGAAGAGACATCGCCTCACCTAGTTTGCTGAAGGGCCTGAAATGTTGCTCTGTAAGCCTCATTGTTTCTCTGCATTGCTCTCATGTCATCGGAGCTTCAGGAACAATCAATATAAAACCAAGACAAACAATAAGATGTCTTTGTGTCTGGGATTTTCTAACTGCCTTTGTTTAGCTTTTGATATATTTTTATGTTTTCCTGCAGTTTCATACTATCACTAAAATCCTTCTCAGATGCCACAACACCAACACCGGGGGAAATACTTGCTGTTTTATGGTGTGTACTTTTTTCTTTGTCTAAATAGTTTTGTATTTGCTTTTGTATCTTTTGATGTTACAAAAAGATTTTGAAATCTGTTTTCTTAATATGAAAATTATAATGAAAAGCAAATTAATCCCAGATAGTAGTAGGATGTGCGGTCAAGGGGTTAATCCCACTGATAGTTAATTATTATAAACTGCCATCTATTGCCATTTTACTGCTGACTCAATAGATGCTTTGGTCTTGGGACTTAAATTATATCCTTGTTTATTTTTGTATGTTCTTCCACCATTATGTACTTCTGATGATACTGTGAACAGTGCAGTAAGCTCTTAAGATATTCTTCCTCAGGTAGATGAGGAAAACCCAGTGCGATGTGTAAAAGGCTATAAAAGGTTAGATGGCTGTCTTTCTGTGGTAGAGATACTCACGGCTAAAAGGTAAACTTCTCTTTAACTTCTGTTTGTGTTCATAGCATGCGTTGCCAGTCCATTTTGAACATGGCGATGTTTCGTTGTAAAAAAGATATAGCAATAAAGTATTCTCGTACTCTTAATGAACACTTCAAGATTTCTTCCAAAGTTGCCCAGGCACCTTCTCCATGCATTGCAAGGTAATGATAAGTCTAATTTAAATAATCTCCAAAATTGAGTTATTTACCTCTTTACTCCTATATTTACCTCTTGCTGTGACTTTGGCTTTTCAAAAATTGTATACATCTATGTGCTGATTTGCTCCTTAAACTTAAATCATTAGCATATTTCTGCCTTTTTTAGGAATCATTATAAATCAAGGTGTTTGCTGATTGGGTAACATAAAAAGATAATTACAAAGAATATAAGGTCAAAATTTTAGAGCTGTGGGATCGTTAACTGTGCTTAACAACACAGAACAGAGATAGAGCCAACAGAACCAGGACCACAGACCTTTCTCCTTCTATATGACATGCCGTCTTGGCGTTTCAGTAAACAAGAACTGTCTAGAATCATATGCCCTCCACCTTGTCCAGTATCCATAACAGTGATATAAAGAATACAAACAATTATCTCTAGCTAAATTCTTTTGCCTGCTTTGTAAACTGAAATTGTTCATCTATGCCATAAGAGAAAAACAGAATCCTTGTGTAGGTGTTTTTAAGATGAAGATAGAATTTTCTTCCCTGTAGTACTTGCCTCGTGTTTTTTTAATTTGGTCATACTCCTTGAAAAGTTCCCAGTTCTGACAGGTTTTGCTATTTTAAGAATATCACCTATAAGATTGCCCCATTTTCAGCACATTCAAAAGAAGCGATTCCTGTATGGGCTCTCTTAAAAAAGAAACTCCTGATTGAGAAGTAACTTCTTACCTCTGAACATTTTCATGACTCTCACCTCTGAGATACTATTCTAAGTTAATCGATTGTCAGTCGCATTGTTTTAGATAACTCTTTCCCCATTGTCCAGCCAATGTATACAGAGCACCTCGTCTGCACCAAACCTTGTTTTGGATGCAAGGGATACAGCAGACAAGAACCGCTGGGCTGCTGGGGTTTCCACTCTGGTCCTTCAAACGTGCACTCTGCTGGGGACGCTTAGGATCCACGCAGCCCAAAGGGCAGATGTAGCCAGATCACGAGGCTGCTGCTGGTGACCCATCTTTCCATTTTATATCCGTTACTTTTTTTTTTTTTTTTT